TAACCTGGATTCAAAGGTTTTCCAAGTGACCCATTCTCATTAGTAAGCGTCACGTTTTCAGTTCGACCAGGAAATTAAAACTTCTGAATTATGTCTAAATAGCGCTCCTCACAGCAAGATATTCGAAGCAGGAAGAACATTGATAAGTGTTTAGGAATGTTAAAACTTTGTACGTCAGAACGTTTATATGAAATTTCTTCAGTTCACAACGACAACCTATCTAATCACACCGCTGTATTTAGGAAACGACTATGACGATAGCCATAGTCGTTTCCTAAATACAGATAGATACACGACTGCAGATAGTTTCCAAATATTTCCTAAATACAGATAGTTACACGACTGCAACCTGTGACCCGCTCAGATTATATGATGTGTGCATAAAACTCTTTTTCTTTGTCACGATAAGGTGCTTATACTTATTAGCGTTGAAAATGAAATGCTCAGACGACCAACCAGTTAAGCTTAGTAAGTCTCTTTGTAGTTGAACTGCGTCAGCATCGTTATCAATAACTCGATAACACTTCATATCATCCGCATAGAGTTGGACAGTAATTTAATTTTTAATTTAGTCCATTTTCACTGCATTAAGTTTTGCAGTGGGGAAGGACTAGAAAGGAACATAGGAACCATTCGTGCTAGTCCACCCTCCCACCCATCCCACCCCAGGGGAGGACATCCATCACACAGTAATCTCGTGTGTGGGAAATTAACGTCTCCTACCCCAACCCTGCAGGAGACGGGACCTCCATTTATTCGTCCCTATCCGAGAAGACTAGAATATCTAACCATTTCTTGATGTTATAGAAAGGCAGCAAATTCTTCTCAATTATTTTAAGACCCTGAGTGTTGGTCCGGCCGGGGCTCGAACCCTCGACCTCCCGCACAACAGTCCAGCGCTCTATCCATTGAGCTAACCGGGAGGCGGTTATTATTATTTACATAATAATATGGGGTGTCATGGGTTAAATGTGTAATTCTAATACATACCAGACTGTGAATGTGATCACTTGTCTATAAGAAGAGGAAGAGGAGTGGGGATGCATTTGAGGGAGTGCCTATGTCAACTGATTGGAAGGGTGGATATTTATAGAGGGTATTGATTAAAGGAAGATGGTGATTTGAGGATTGATATGATAAACATTGCATGTCAGTCAATCAGTCAGTCAGTAACTTTATTATTGTGTCAAATCTTCTAGCTTACCACAAGTGGTCTACTAATTGGGACACTTAAAATTACACTAAAATCTAAAAATCGCACTAAGATATTAAGTACTGGTGTAAAATTATATAACATGGACAAAGCCAAGTTACAAAAAAAAATTATAGTTAACGAGGACGCGGGGTTCTGGAATTAAAGTTTTTAAGGAAGTGCATGATTTGACAGAATGAGTTTATTTTTTTATAGAACTGAACATTCTGTCATTTAAGAATTAGCAAAGTTGTTAAGGCATGCAGTCTGGGTCATCAGTAAGGGAATGTGAAATTCACAAGTTAGACTATGTTCTCATAATAGAATAAAAAGATTGACATTTTTGAGATATGAGAAATTCAGAAGCCTTCCTTACATTTCTATTGTTTAGTATCCTTCCTGTTAACTAGCATGTAGTTGTAAAAGAACAACTTATTCATTTTTCTTAAAATCAGTTTTTGGAAGTAGCTGAAATTTAGATGGCATCCTTAATCATAGCATGTGAAGAATTTTTGCTCATTTTCAATTTCAAATTTCAAGGCAAATTATAGGAGATAATTCAGTGGCATCTCATTGTAAAACATTTCAAATAGGGTATGACAGATTGCAAATGTTCAGGCAATGTCTTTAAGTAAGTTATGGCTAAATGTAATCGTTGTGAAATTATACTGACCGAAGCTAAGAAAGTATTACTTAATGCCATATAAACCATGTAAGTGAAAAAAATCACTCCAACTAATTTCTACTTTCAACACACTACTGCAAAAACTTCAAAACTAGTTTCGTCTATGACCTTGTCAGTTGATGACGAGGTTGTAGACGAAACTAGTTTTGGAGTTTTCGCAGTAGTGTGTTGAAAGTAGAAGTTAGTTGGAGTGTTTTTTTTTTTCACTTACATGGTGTATATGGGGCTAAATGTAAATGTTCACGCAATGTTTTAAGCTGGGCGTAGTACTAAGCTAAAAATTAAAGTGTGTCTTAGAAAATTTTTCTACAGGAGATGAAGCAAATGCAGCCCATTCATTGTGATAGTTGTATAGGCATGGTGAAACTGAAAGGGGAACATGACTTCTCCCATAAGCAGGCTCTTTTGGGAGGTAAATAAAAACTGGAGTTAAAATGACTGCTTTTCAGCCAATAATGCTGTGCAAGCTGTCAACGTTAAATCTTATTTAAAAACTCTGAAAAAAAGGAGCATGTTTTAGGATGTGACATGACATCAGTCCTTTGAGTAGATAAGCTTTTGTTTCACCAGCAAACCTTTGTACTTAGTGTGTAATTACATAATTGTATTTTGTAAACTGTACATACTGGTAGCATGTTTCAAAGGTGCTTACCATAGTTATTATTATAGTTATTAGTTTTGTTCCTTATTATTTATCACAAGTAGATTAATATATTTAATTGTGATAGAATAATAAAATTTTATTTTTGTAAGTTAAGAAGTGGATCAGTTAGAAAAACCCAATGTCGGTGCCATCGTTTTAAGCTCTTCTTACTTTTAGCTAAGGAAACACTGCCGCCTAATAGATGATGTCTTTGGATTCTGAATCAAAAGTCCCAGCTGCAAACCAGGCCTGAGCTACTCTCTTAACCATTTAACCCCCAGAAGTGTTAAACATGTAACTTCTCCCTATAATATCCACACATTATCCACCAACAGGTTATGAGAATACTCAAACATATCAGGCAGGAGTTGTTAATCTGACACTGGTAGCACCAAATTCTCATAACTAATTTACAAGGGCAGCTAGAGGGGGGAATTAGCAGTCAGATCTTGGGATTTAGAGGGCTAATGGGCAACATAAAACCACAACAGTGCTTTCTCTCCCTCCATTCTGTTGCCTTTCAACCTGCTGGTTGAAACATCTATCTTATGGTTGTGGTAGGTGGCAACAAAGAACACAAAAGAGGTGGTCGCTACACTCACCAATCATGTGCCTGCACTGCAGCATTGTAAAGTAGTTATCAATGTGTGTATCTAACACTAGGGATTGAGAAACCTGTGAAAACAAGAGTAACCCCTCCCCTCCCATGGCAGATCTAGGGGAGAGGCTCAGGGGGCCTGAACCCTCCTTCGTTTGGGTAAAAAATAAATGCAGAGGGAAGAAAAGCCGGCAGATGAACAAACACATACACACAAAACTGCCTACCCCCTTAGCTCAAAGCCTGCATCCACCACTTCACCTCCCCCCCCCGCCTAGCTTTTGTGACTAGAATAAAGTTTACAACATCGTTAAAATGAGAAGACCACAGTGGTTATCACTAGTCAGGATTGAGTTGCCCAACTACAGTAGTCAATAATAGTTTCATTCATTATTATAAGGAATTCGTTGGGTTGAATTTATAATTAGCATTTCTTTGTGAGATAGTCTAGTTGGGCAACTCTGACAATATTAATTTATAGTAAATGCACCAATGATACTATATCTTGGATAACATAAGACTGGAATTTTGGGTATTTGAAGATCAAAACGAGTGTTATCTTCCGTGCACCTGTGGTTATCTTTCGAAAGTCCTTTCTCTCATGTTTCGTTCCAATGGTCTTTTAGTCAATAGAATGAAAATCAAATAATTTCCATCATTAGTTCCAAGGTTATTTCCAAGGCTTCTCTCCTTAAAAATTTTAGGACATCGCGATCCCAAACATAAGTCCAGTTCAATCTAGTCTACTTGTAGCCGTACCCTCCCCTAGCTGAGGAGAAACGTTTCTCATCGGCGTAACGCGTAAGCTAGGTCCAATCTAGTCTCCCTCGCAGCCTTTTTTTTGGATGTCACACAACGCTCCCCCAAAAGTTCTTTTGAGGGAGCGTTGCGTGACATCCAAAAAAAAGGCTGCGAGGGAGACTAGGTCCAATCGAACCGATCAAGACTCTATGAACCTATCCCGTAAGTCTATTCGGCCCTTCATGTGTGACTGAGTGGAACCTTGAGGAAATGAAAACAAGATACAGACAGCGGCAGATAAACATTAAAAACACTCGGTGACCTCCCCGATTTCATGTACTCTCCGGAAGAAGTGCGACGCAATGGGTTCGTCTTGGTATTTGGACGAGACTGAAATCAGCTCATATGACCCAGGGCATTCGTCACCAGACAGCCTGTCTTTCAATGGAAAGCTCTTTAACTATCCAGCTGGTTCTATGTCCAGCCTTGCAGGTGAGGGATTTGTGTATACATTAAAAAAAAAAAAAACCCAGGTGCGTTGAAATTATTCACAATTTATTCTTGATTTAAGGATGTTGTTAGCTACAAAGTTGTAAACCAAATTCAAAAACAAAACGGGTGTAATTCGAAAATGCCGGTGTATGGTCATCGCAGCAAGTTGGCATGGTCTTTTTCAACTTTTTGCAGAACCTGACATAGACGCTGTAATTACCACGACAGTGATCAAGTTGATGTAGGATTTATTGGAGTTATTGTCCTTTAAAATCTCTTTTTTGATGCTTGAGTCGGAAAACATGACTGAAACTGAAAAATTTCGCTATTTACATCGCCGTGTCCCTTTTGCAATAACATATACGAATTCGGGAGATGGTTGCTTAAAATTACCATTTGTAAAAAAAAGATAAGGATATTGATTTTATATTGTGATATCACAGAGTCAAATGCTGCTGCCCGTTTTGGTTTCTCATTTCCAGCGCTCCAATTTTTCCAAAATTCGTTTTTTTGTCGTCAACTGATTTCATTTTTGACCTGGTACATTATTGTATAGTTACATATTGAAGATGTAGCAAAGTGATATTTTTAAGAATTACTCATACTGCACTTATGAATATTTCCTTTGTCTTAATTTACGTTTGTTTCTTTGTTTTATCTTTAGAGAAGGGTGTTGTTTATGTTGATTCAGACCCGGAGGAAGATGACGATCTTAATGTTCCAGATAGCACATGTGGAGGTCATGGGATATTGGTTCGGAGTGATCCAAAAAAGACAACATTTCAAATAGTTAACACCAGGATCCATGATGAAAACAAGCATGTGGTAAGGGTTGTTTTGATGTGTTGTCGTCTTTTTTTGTTTGTTTGTTTGTTTTTTGTTGCAGAAAAGTATTTATAGAAACTTAGCAGACACTATGAAAAATTATTAGCTTTGAAGAGTAAAATGGTACTTAACCCTTAAACTCCCCAGAAGTGATTAGCATGTAATTTCTCCTCATAATATCCATACATTATCCAGCAAACAGGTAATGAGAATACCTAAAAAGTATCAGGTATAAGTTATCTTGATCTAACACCAAATTCTCCCAACTGACTTACAAGGGAATATGTAGTAGCTAGAGAGGAGAATTGACAATTAGATCTTAGGAGTAGAAGGGTTAAGTACTAAGAGATCATCCTTTTTACCTTTTAACCCTTTACACCCAATATCAATTTGAAAGTTATCAATACTGTCCCCATACATTTCTAATGATGCCTACAAGGGAAGCTTGCTTAATAATCAAGAGTGTCTCGACCTTGTAATAATTTTCTTTATTCTCATGACCTAAATGTTTGATTCATGGGTGATACTGTTAGGAGAAATTGGATGCTCATGATGCTTGGGGGTTCATTCTCAAGATCTGAAGGTGTGTTCTGGGAAATGGTGATTGCTGAATTCTTTGTTCCTTATTCCTGAGAATTTGGCATTACATCAGGGCAAGCACTGATCCGAAGTGGAGTAATTTCATTTATATTCTTCCTGCCAGCTGGACAGGGTCTCAAGTTTTAGGGAAATTTGAGTACTTGGAAGGTTAAAGAAAACTATGTTTTGAGGGGAATTTAAGCAAATACCCAGATTACAGGAATGAAAAAAACATAAAATTCCAACCCCTCTAATGTAAATTGAATTCCCCCCATAGATTTATTGCGTGATGGTTTTGAAAAAAGATGTGGGTATTGACAAAGACCAAGTCACAGTAGAAAGACGATACTCTGACTTTGCTGCCCTTTACAAAACACTCAGGAAAGACCTCTCCTCTCTGTTTAAAGACATTGAAGTCAATTTTCCAGGAAAAGTGATTGGACAGAAGAATAATCTCAATCCTGAATTAATCGAATCCAGACGCATGGCTCTTCAAGATTTCCTACAGAATATTTTTAAACACAAAGAAGTACGGCAACAACAAGCTTTCAAAGAATTCTTTTTCCTGCCAGGGTTGAGAGAGGCAACAGACAGTCTTAAAGCAGGTGAACTTGAAAATTGCCTTGAGTTGTTCTTAAACAGCATTCATCTTCAAGTTAAGCTGTGCGATGAAGTGAGAGAGACTGTAGCTACTTTTGGAGCAATTGTTGTTGTACTCGAGGCTCAGGGGAAACTGGAAGATGCAGAACGTTATGCAAGAGCAGCACTTGAATTAAACCATGATGATTATCTAAGCCCCTATGCAATGCCCTTGCTGGACACATTAGCAAAGTTAAGAAGGATATTGCAAATGGAAAAGAAAACTATAGTAAGACATCTGAGTGAACTTCAGAGAATGAGTGGCATAGAGGTTGAAGACACTTTTACACTTCGAGAACTTGCTGTTAAAAGATTTGAAAAAGTCAAGTAATCAGTATAATGTGGAAAGTGTAGCTTTGATTACTTAGTCTGATCATGTGTGAGAGTAGTCCTGGGAACTACTGATGTCAGTAGAAGTGAGTGCTGTTTCAGTGCATTTAGTAGAAGCCATTTAACCTATCAGCATTAGGAGAGTAGTTTTTGTCAATTGAATGTTGTTGACATGTGTTCTAGGGATTTTGCTTTTAAGTTAGTGCACCAGCCACTCAACAGATGTCAACAAATACTTGAACCATGGAAATGATTTTTTGAGGACATTTTAAGTGGGTTATTTACACAAGGTCTAACTCTAACTGCAGTTTTATGCAAGCAGTGGGCCTCAGGGATTCTCTATAAGCAGGCTGATTTAATTAAGTAAATGTCCTTCTACTATTAGCTTTTGGCCCTCTTGACACTGTTGACAAAAAAAAGGTTGAGAGGAAAGGTTTGGCGAGATAACGCGGTTTTGTAAACAACAGCCAAACTTTATTTTAGTAAATGGCTCTTAGTCAACGAATGTCAGTTACTAAATCTGACAATAGTCCTTCTCAAGACTTCCATCACCCAGAAGATCGCACTACATGCTCAAGTGTGACTCTAGGGTCTAAGCACTTATTTTAAAATGTAGCATAATTGCTATAAACTTTATTTTAGTAAATGGCTCTTAGTCAACGAATGTCAGTTACTAAATCTGACGATAGTCCTTCTCAAGACTTCCATCACCCAGAAGATCGCACTACATGCTCAAGTGTGACTCTAGGGTCTAAGCACTTATTTTAAAATGTAGCATAATTGCTCTTTTCATCAACATGTCTACAATTCTAATGAAAAGCACTTTATACAACTTTTGTTGTTTGCTACAGTAGTCAAATGAATGTAGCACGACAAGACCTAATTGGCAACAGTTGATATGTTGTGTTGACAAGTTACTGAAAAGAACAGTAATAAGTTAGTCATTTGTAGTGTAAGTAATTATTAGATATACAAATAACAGGATTTTTGTCAAGTTATCTGAAATTCCTTTTTCAGATCTATATCTTACAAAAATTTGGAAGGAAACTTGTGTCTGTACAATTTTTGTCAGAGGTGACATTTATTGGTGGTCAAGAATGCAGGATATTTCTTCTTTGTAGTGATCGCAGATTTCAATATTTCAGAGCTTAGTTTACATACAAATGGCATTTCAGTTTTGGCTGTAAATTTTCCAGGATTGCCAAAGGTGTATGTAAAATTATGGAGATGTAATATAATGTTTAAAAATATTTATTGTCAGTGACAAGAATGTATATAGCAATTAATATATAAAATATTTGTAATATTAAACCTGATCATGATAATGATCCACTGGCTTAGTGCACTTTTAAGCTGTGGAAAACACCTGACTTTTGTGTTTGGGCTTTTATTTCACTTTTTCTTTTAAGACAACATTTGTCTGCAAAGATTACATTATTTGTCACCAAACATACTTATCTTGTGTCAGTCATACTGATGAGGTATTCTTTTCATTTAGGCCACTCACCCAAGGGGAATTTAAAAATTATTGATCTCTAGATGACAGTTAAATACATGATTAGTCATCTCTTTAAAGAGCTAGGAAATGCATGATTTAATGTTGAAAATGCTGGTAGCAGTATAAATAAATAATTTGAAATGTAGAGTACAAGCTTTGACTCATTTTCCTTTCCCTCTTTGCTAGTCTTTTAGGCAGCTGTTTCATTAGTTTTGCCACACAACAAACTCTTTCGGAGCAGAGTGACAAATAATTTACATTCAGTGACTATTGAGAGAACTTCTTTCATTTACTCCAAGCCACTGTGCACTTGTGCAAAAAGACTTTTATCCCTGAAGTTACAATTTTTAATAACTTGTTTGCATCTGAACCTTGACAAGGATGAAGCTAAGCTACACCTGAGATACCCTGCAAGTGAAGATGTCCTACCATCAGGGTAATAGTGAACAATGCTTCCCATTTTTTGGCTGTAGGTAACCTGTCGGTCAACTGTCAGCTGACAGGTTACCAACACATTACTGACACATTAGCAACAGTCCACTGGCAGTGTTGAGTGCACAAAAAATTGATCAAAAACAGAGTCAAAACTTTTCCAGTTGAAAACAGTAAATAGATATCTGTCGATTGCACCCTTCGTACCTATCTACTTGACTCTGTTTTAATGGTAAAATGAACTTGTTTGACCCATCTTTCAACTGTATATACCAAAATTTAGTAGTAAGTAAATTTAATACATATTTCTTACATCCTTATCTGTACACAAAATAAACTTCTTTTCTCCATTTTGCTGTTCTTCACTTTTACTGTCCATCAGTCCTAGCCTCTTGCTAATTGAAAATTCTCTCCAACAAAGAAGTGAGTTCCTCATATGTGAACACAGTGAAGCCTCTGATGGCCAGGTCTTGAGAATATGAGAATTGGGGAAGACATTGAAGGGCACAACATGTGCAAGTAGTCAATGCCAGCTGAGAGGTGTAAACTCTGAAGTTATCAGAACACACTACTTTGGATGCAAAATAGTTTTACCACTAAAAAAAAATCAATGGCATATACGCATCTGGAATCAGTTTTTCAGTTGACATTTATTTACACAACAGATAATTTACTATTGTCACGAGAAATTATGGACAGTTTAAGTCATGCTAGAGGTATTGTTTGGCAAGAGTTCTGAGCAGCTTGGCTTTTCTGCTTTGTTCTGTATGTTGAAGAAGTTCAGACGAGTTGAACATGTTCAGGTCAGGTTGACTGATGGCTCGAATCTGTAACATAACAAAGTCAAGCAATGAATCTCAGTGAAACAAGGCTTGCATCATTTGAAGGCTAAGGGTTATCAGCACCATGAGAGGTTAATTGACATTAAATGTAGCCAAGAGGCATCCAGGATACAGGGAGGTGAGAACAAATGATAACAGGGAATGAAGATGGGTCCTCGTGAGATTTACCAAGAAAGAATGAATTTTCAGAAACTTCCAAATTGAAGAGAAAACAAAAAATACTATAACTGTTACGTTACAAAAAACTGACCGTAAGCAACTTCTTGTCATGTTGTCCACGCTTGGCATGGGTGTCTCATCTGAGTTAAGGAACTTTCAAAAATTATCATAAAACCAATTAAATTGTAAGGCAGATTAAGCTGATTTTCCTCTGAGACTCAGGTCATGTCTCCGCAGAAGAAAACATTCCCAATTTCAATTTGACTTAGAGTCAGTGGAGAACGAACCTCTTTTAGATGTGCCACTACCAATTTTTCTTCCTTGACTTCTTTTTATGTTCATCTAACTGTTTATTCATTCCTGTTTTTTTAGTCTAAGAGCCTGTAAGGCATTTATTAATGGTAAATGTGCTTTCAAGGATACAGGTTAAATATTCTAACATGGTTATATCCCAGAAGAAAGAGTAGTAGAAGTCCATGGCATCAGAACTAGCAAGATAAAAGTATTATTCAGACAAGTTAGTCATTCAGGTACACAAAAGTAGAACAGAAGACAGGTCAGCTATGATGAGTTGATATAAATTACATCATGAGTACAAAGTCATTACAGGCATGTGCACCCATGGACAGATCAATGGACCACGTACTGGGAATGGCTTGTATCACTAAGGTTACCCTGCACTGGACATCACCTGGTAAAAGGAAACCTGGTCAAATCACCTGGCACCCAACGACTGGGCTCAGTGAGGTAAAACTCATGTGGGTCGAGGCTCAACATGCTGCACAAAACAGAGCTAAATGGAAAGAAATTGTTGTTGCATTTTTCCTAAAGCAAATGAAGAGGACTGAGTAGGTGACCCATTGGCTTAAATACAATGTTTTAAGGAAAACCTCAGCCCTCAATCAAATTGCAACATGGTTTCAGAAACTGGGATCAAAGTAATTTATTACCTTGCTGAGCAGGCCTGCTGAAGAGCCTTAAAAGCTGTTGTGTAATCTTTAACCTCCATACACTGACAGAGTAATGCTGCCTGTTTTTGTGACAAATGAAGTGATGTTCAGAAACAGTTACTGTATCAGATAAAATTATGTCTAAAAGGGTGGAACTGACTTGTCCATCAAGTTTAAGTTAAACATCCCTCAACACAAAAAACATGCTGTAAAAATGGAAAACTTGATCAGAGGGCTGCAGATCAAAGGTAAAAAACATGAAAGAAATATAAAGATCACTAATCTGAAAGTCAATGGAGAATAATAATATGACTTATCCTTCCAAATGTAAAAAGCTTGTGGAATAAATATAACTTACAGTGTTTAGTGAGTGATATCAAATAAAAAAAATTAATTATAATTTTGCCCTCTTTTCCAAGACTCTCCATACCAAAATGAGTACAAAAAATTAAACAAAATTCTTATTCACTGCTGCAGCAGCAATTTGCATGTTTTATCAAGGATGCTATTGGTTGAGAGTGGATGGCCATTTCACCATGTTAAACCTCTTTGGTAACTAAGATCAATATTTTGTACCTGAACATGAGCTTTCATTGCTGAACAACACATCACCATTTTTTTGTAAACCTAACAAGACAAGCAAAGACAACAGAAGAGTTAAAATTTAACTCTGAATTATAATAAGGTAAGGAACATATACCAGGGTTGGTATTGATCTTTAAAGCCTACTGTGGATGAGTTGCAAAAAACAGCTTCTCATGTTTAAAGTTTGCACTCTACCAGAGCTAACACATAACATTTCTTTTGGAAATGGGTGCTGCTAAGGCAGGCACCATCATTATCAACATCACCAAATTGTCATCACCTTTACCATAGTTATCATCATTACCGCCAACAGAAAAGGTAGCAGTTCCAAATTCCCACAGCTGTCTTTGAAATGAAAACAAAGGAAGCAAGCAAAATATTGGTCTATGTGTTCAGACATTTTTTTATACAATCTCTACCTGATCATCCCAGACAGATGATGGAACTGGAGAACTAAAGAAGAGAGATGACACAGCTCCAGCTTCAAGATAACACCGCAATGCTGATGAATAGTTACCAGAATCTAGAGAAAAGCAAAAATTTTATTAATCAAAAAACCCCTTAAGCATACATGGTTTGAATGGAGGAGTAGCATTTGATCACATTGACCAAGTGAAGAAACAGGTGATGCTAGTTCTGATAGGTAGGGTTGCTGGTGGAAGTCCTTTTTAGAACTCTACCTTTAACCAGATGATCACATTTACATGATTAATAATTTCAGCTCAGGTCCATGCTTCCGTTTTGCAAAAATAAATGTGCCACTTCGTCGTTGGCTCTCCTTCTGTATAGAAGATAGGTGTCCAGTTCACATCATTGACTGATGGTGAGTTCTGTAATGGCTGTGAAGGCCAATACGAGCCTTGAAATTGTCTTCCACATTCTGGACAACACAGGCCTGGTGGTAATTCTGTCCGTGGCTGTTCTTGTCTTTCTTTCTTCCTTTCCCTCTTCAGCCTTATGCCTACTGAACACCTCAAACTTTTCCACTCCATCTCTTATTGCTTTCCTCCAAATAGTTCTGTTCATAGCCAGATTTTCTCATTCTTTAGTGTCAATAGCGCACTGGTTAAGGTGGCTTTTCAGCCTGTCCTTGAATCTTTTCTTTTGCCCTCCTACATCCCCTTTACCTTCTCTCAGTTCACTGTAAAACATCTGTTTTGGCAGTCTGTTGTTTTCCATGCTCACTACATGGCCACTCCATCTCAACTGGTTCCTCACAATCACACTCTCCACACTACACATAGCTCCTTGTTTCAAAACACTGAGATTAGTTCTCCTATCTTGCCACTTAATGATCATCCTTTTCCATAAACATCGTTGCTGGAACTTTTCTAAGGCTGCTATGTGTCACTTATTGTGTTAGTAGCAAAGGTTTTTTCTCTTACGACAATTATGACAAAAGTTGCTAAATGCCATGAAAACTTCTCAATAAAGACTATGGTAAGCAAAATTTAACTAGTAGACAAGTACACTGTGCATGCCACAACTTACCCAAGTAGATATCTCCAAGGGTTTGAAGCCAGGAAACATTGTGATGTTGTACAGAGAGTGCATGGTGGACCACACCCGACATGGCCAAACCAATGTGATCAAAATTTACATTACCAGGGCTGTACAACAAACAAAGAATCAAGCCTTTAGATTCTATAATACTAGTGGTACTTTTGGCCAAACCCTCAGTCTTACTCTTCCTAGATGCAACCTTGAGAGTAGCTTACATTTTGTAAGCAGTTGGAAAACACAGTTTTTGAACTTAGTGAGTTCCATTAAGTCAGTCCTCAAGGCATGAAGCCTTCCTAACCTCTTTTGTTACACTTCTATAACCACAACTGGTGATAGTTAACAAAAAGGAATAGGTTTTTATACTAGGAAACATCCATAACACTTTGCATTTTCATATTTCACTGTAAAGCAAAAATTGCTCATTTGGAACAATTGGGCCACCAAATTGTGTCCTATGTCAACTGGAACAAAAATGATTCATTGCCACTTGGTGCCCAAGTAAAAAATAATTATTTTAGATCCTGGACAGTAAAATTACTCTAAATAGATCAACTTACTTTGTGATTGCTGTTGGCCACAGATGGCTATGTGAGCTTGATATTTCTCTTTGGGAATTTACTTCATCACCCTTTCAATGGAAATAATGTGGAGAGGTTAGCTGACCTTCTTGTTTTGAGGGGGGACTAATCGACTAAAATCGCTCACTCCTTGAAGTATTGGACGTGTAGCTTTTACTAGTATCATCAAGCAGACAAGTGATGAGAGAAGAAGCATCATCATCTAGGGTGTTTCCTTGAGTTAACATCAAATTCTCCAAACCCATTTACAGGGAAATGCAATGGAGCTACATGGGAGAATTACTCATCAGATCTCAGTTCTTAAAGAGCCTCAGGGTAAAGACAGGGAAAGACCCTTAAATAAAGCTTAATGCAAAAGCAATATTCATACATTAAAATGATGAATGCATGGTTAGTCCCCCATAGGGCCCTTGAAACTTTTAGTTTTTAAATGAAGGAGAATAGACCACTTTC